TGAGGGTTTCAAAAAAGTGATCGCAGATGATACGGTAAATTTTTTGGCGATGAGCTCAAAAACATATTTATGAATTAAAAATTTAAGTTGAACATTTTGACCAAGATTAAAGAAGGACGTGCAATTGCATTGTATTTAAAATTGTTGGAGAAAAATAGTGAAACAATTAGTAGGAAAATAGAAAACAACTCTGCAATCGTTTTCTTCAATTCAATAATTTGATAGATGCATTTCCGAAAATATAATGATCCAGACAAAATCACATGAACAAAATAAGTTTAATATTAAACTAGAGGAATATTTTGTACATAATGTACTTAAAGCTGAACACGACTCGTAAATAGACATACGACATATTCGACGATATTATCTATGATATCAGCATCGAGGTATACTCTTCGCATTTGTTACACCTGACTGCTTTATTGTCACGGGTATCGGCGTGGAATGGCGACACTTTTCGTGCTGGTTATCTTACATTACCTTTGTTTATGTTTTATTGCAGTTAGGTGTATTTGTGTTTGTTTGTACTCTGCACTGACCTGTGCAGCTGTCGTAAGTTTCTTCGATATCTTACTCTCTTACATTAGATGAAGTACACAGTAATTTTTTGTGGCTACCGAGTGCTGTGTAGCATGCATTCGCCTACACTGGTGATGACTGATTACAGTGAACAGTGACTAAGTGAGAGGCTTTGTATAGGGGTCCTCGGATATAGCGAGTGAATACTCGAATACGGCGGACAAATTCCTTTTACAAAGCGTGTTCTGCTTTAACTACATGCCTTTGCTTCGTATTCATCTTCAGAGATCCATTCGAAGAGGGAAGTAAGTCGCTTGGTAAATTGAAATGCAGAGAAATTTGCCCATTTAAAAGATTTTTGTTTTATTTATTAATTCATTTATTTACTTAGGATTAAACAATTCTTTTTGAAAAAAAAAATATGGCAGAGAAATTTACACTCGGTTAATTTATTTTGAATAAAGGTTACATGATTTCGCAGTGTTATAACACAAATCATAAATTAAGTACATGTAAATAAGATTCAATTAAAAGGATGATTTGAAGTATGACATCCTTTGAGAGATGATTAACATTTTTACGTTTACAGCCATAGACATTTCTCCCAGGAATTATTGACGTCCCATTTCTAAACTTCTCTAGTGCTAACGACTATTTAAAGAAAAAGGTGTCCAAATCCCGCATGAATTTATTAATCTGAAAATTTGAAGGCTTCCTATTGTATACAAAATATATATCCTGTATTCAGCTTTAAAATTCAAGCATTGTGCAATTACTGTAAATGTATTATATTTTAGCTTGTTACGGACAAGAGGATCATTAAATGTAAGATCTATACGATATTTGGCAGAAATATATATTTCAGCGAGTTGGCGAAGATTTTATTTAGCGCGTTACTAAATATGATAGACAAAAATATATCGTATAGAAAAAATATTTGGCACATGTACTTGATTTTGCGGTAGGTTTTTTTCCCGCCAAGGCGCTAAAATGAATTCAAAGTCTAATGTAATACTTTTATAGTATTTTAGATTTACAATTTCAAGCTTGCTCATACTTCCCCCCCCAATGATTAGATAATAAAACGCATGTGGCAAACGAGAACTGGTTAAACGTATATTTTTTTTTTTGGTTTGCATCTTCTTATTTGAACTCATGTAGGTAAATAAATATCGATTTTGTGCAATGTATCAGTAATAGAAACTTTATGATTTTAAATAGTACATCTTATTGCAATTACGATTAAATTTAATTCTGTATCTGTAAGAAAGAGGAGAACAAGAAATGCTTATGTAGGAAAGGAGATATGCTGATTATATCCTCATTGAAAAGTTCCATTTTGAGAAGGATTTTGTTTGGATGGCTTGGTTCGTTAAATATTCAAATGCACATGTTTATTCAATATGGCGCTAAAACTACACATACACATTCGGTCGTACATCAAAAGGTTACACATTAACTAGATAGATCGTGCGATAGCACATTTACTAAACAGGTTCAAAAGGCACGGTATTGTCCTGAAAAGAACAAAGACATTTATCAGAAGGAAAACAGTTAAACTACTAAAATATTGACATATATCTCATGAAAACTTAAGCAAATCGGAGAGTCTTGTAGGGAAATTTGCCTACTTTTTACAACACTTTAGAAAAACAAATTGATAAAAACATAACTCACTTTAACTGTACCTCAAAAATATATATATTTCCTTCTATTTGCAGGAGACGGGATTTCGTGTACACATCAGCTCTGCATCAATGATGCGCAGTTTTCCACATTTGATAATGATAATGACGCCCAACCGGCATATAATAATGCAGAACTGTGGCGAGGAGCCTGGTGGTATCACGACGGACATATGTCAAACCTCAATGGTGAATACGGTAATAACAATCATGGACAAGGAATTAGCTGGTATTTCTTCAAAGGATGGACAACTTCTTTGTCTAAAACCCGGATGATGCTTCGACGAGCCTGACCATTATTTACACTTTTATACGGTGTTTACCATCTGAGATGGTACGACGTTTAAGAATTTTTTTTTTTTTTAAATTTTGATTTTTATTTGGAGAGCTTTTAAGTTCTTTTGAAAACACCATTTTGCTTATATTTCAGTTTTACAAACCATACTTACAATCGAACAGAATTTTAAATATATTTGTTTCTTTTCATAAATATTAGACTGGTTTCTGGTTAGAAAATAAAATTTATCAGGGTAAATAGATTTGTGTAAAGAATTACTGCATTAAACAAAAATTATCGAAATTTTAGGTCCCAGTTCAATTAAAAGTGTAAAAAATACCTTTCTCTGGTATATGTGAGTAAAAACAAGATTCAAGCCTAATTGATGATGTTATGTTTGCCTTATGCTTAAACAAGGTATTGTCTTTTTGTAACATTCTAGTTACATAATTGAAATGTTTTGTTTATGAAAGTTCTTTTCAATGATGTAAGAGGAAAACTTGCTTTTTTTCGTTTTTGGATGCAGCATAATTGTATCGGATATTCCGATTCGTACATGTTATATTTTCTTTCAATTAACTTATTGGAAAGAGATACATAGATGAATGGGCTGTTATTTATTCACCCACTTATATAAGGAAACCTGTATACCAGTAAATAAAATATGTTTGTGTAGGTAAAAGAATGCCTAGAAATTAGAACACAGGAAATCATGAATTTCACATATCAACTAATCTAAAATAAAGCACAATTTCTAACTTAAATGAGTCTTTAACGTTTTTTTCACACTGTGCGCACTTTTTGTAATCTGCAGCAGAACGTCAATTCTATTATGAATTTTGTAAAAAATTATGCCATACATTCGGCAAAACATGAAGAGAAAGACATGGACACTTCGTCGGAATGGACTAAGTGTTTAGAAATATGGTATTAAATCGTATTAGAAAGTTCAAGGGCAAAATGCGAACCACCAATCCTTCCTTTTTCACTAAATCTGAGTTGATAAAAGAATCTGGAAAATACATTGAAAATATGGTATGGTTCCAGCAGACATGACTTGTAACAATATTGTCTTTGTTTTGTAAGGCTCACTATTATAACTATAGTTTAGAAATTGTTTTTAATTCTTCATCTAAATATCCTACTTATACTCACAGTTAACTTTTTAAGGATGAACATCTTCAATATCACATTTCAGTCTTTAATAATTTTAACATTCCAGTCGACGGAGGTGGATTCAATCTACTCTACCAATACAGATCTTCTACTCTTCATATAAAATTCTTACAATGATACATTGTCTGATCCAGCAAGTACTCTACCAAACCCTTATCTTTCACAAATATATCAACTGCTGTTAAGGAGAAATTTCTGACGAACTGTGCTACAGCATATTTGAGAAGTTGTGTAAATCAATATGGATTCTCTCAGACTTCGAACATTTTTAGAAATTCAATTGTTTTTTAAAAGTTAGTAACATCAAAGCGTATGACTTTTCTACATTTTATAAAACCATTCCTCTCGATAAATTATGAACTAGGCTTTTTGACATCATACACAACTGCTTTTTCAATAAAAATGGAATTGGAAAATTTTTATATCTTGTGATTGATGATCAACAGTTGTTTGTTATAAATCGCTCTGTTTCTACACACATGTATTCTAAAGTTGTCCGCTAGAGCTGACCCCAAGCGAAGCAGAGCGCACCCAAAGTGCATCCAGGGCTGACCCAGAACGAACGCCAAAAACAAACCCCGATTATAGTAGGGCACCCAGAAAGCGAACCCACCGTTTGATATTAAGTAACAGAGCTGTCAATCAGGATTACGCGTTGACCAATCAGTGCGCCGACCAATCAGTATTCCGGTTGGCATTTCGAAGTAAATCAAAACATTGTACACGCATAGTAAAAGGTAATGCTTGTTTATGTGCAATTTAGATTTACTTTTACCTATATACAGAATATTTATTAAAAAAACAACAACAATTATTTAGGTAACATTAAATATTCAGGTAATTACATAATTATTTCTATATTTTAGAAAGTAAAAAAAAATATACATGTACAGATTATTAACCATATGTAACGGGATGGCACTCAAACACTGGGATGTATACGGTACTTTGAACACCCAGAAATTTACTAACATTAAACCAATTGATTTTTAAATTAAATGATTGACTCCAGTAAATAAATAAAATAAGATTCAAATAGTTTGAGATGATGGTTTATTCTGACTTAATCTCTAATTAACAAATTAAATAAAAATTTAGTAACATGATTCAATCAAGAAAAATACAATAACAAAAAAAAAAAAAATAATAAAATAAAAAAAAAAAAATAATAAAAAAAAAATAAAAAAAAAAAATAAAAAAAATAAATAAATAAACTGGCTGCAGTCGTCTTAACCCTAAATTTCCAAAAAATATTGAATTTCCCTTAGACATATTAATTAAAATTGTGAAACGACTCTAATAAATAAATAGACCTAGCTTTCTTCAAATTACTGTGTTACCGATAGAAATTAAGAAAAATTCCCCGAAAGTTCTTAAAATTTCACCTACATCTTATCCTAACAGCCCAAAAATCTGGAGTCCCCGTTGTACAACGGGTGCTCACTTATATACCCTAGGGGAACGGTATCCGTTCCAAAACAACACGGAATCCGTTGGAAAGCAACGGAATCCAATAGGAAAATACAACGGAAAATAGTTCCCGTTTATAGAAATTACTTTAGCAAGTTTAAAATACGAATAAAATATAACTCTAATTCATTAATATATCATGCGACATAATTAATTACCTTAAAGCTCATTTTTCTAATTAATAGAAAAATCTGTCAGCGCATAAATATCTGGGGTGCGCGGATCAAAGAAGTAAACGAAAATTCACCCATAATGCATGACGTGTTTGCACAATACAGGTAAAATACCAGTTAAAAACGTAATTTTCCTAAAACATTTAGTAGATCATACTCTAGTTACAGCATTTTTGCAATTATTTCAACATGGACATCGTTAAATACGAAAGGATGTGCATATATTACATGTGTTCGTTCTACTTTCACTTTGCATACGATACATGAAAAGTTGTGAATCCAATTTTAGAACATTAAGTAATAAACATACAATACATACGATCAAAATACTCAAATTATGAATCATTTATAGAGGTAGATTAATATGATAAGATTTGTATTTTAACTACAATAAAATACAGAAACTTCAAATGACCAAACTTTACACGTACATTGAGTAGTATTTTTTCAGACAGGTTGTCTTGAAAAAAATATCAACGAAAATTACCTGAAAATAAAATTCCAATTAAACATTTCTCTAGATTTATATTTCATTTCTGTAGAAATATATATTTATTCAATCATTCAGTAATTTATTTAATATATTTATTTTTCCCATTAACATTTATTTCAAATCGCTCTTTTCCATCTACATTAGAAAACATTAAAACATTTACCTTTATATTTAACTATTGTAATAAGTTTACGTACATGTTTGTAAATCAGAAAAAAATAGATATACTATATAATTTGTGACTCATATTAATTTCTCAAAACTATTATGGGAACATGTTTTTCATTGATACTTTGAAATCTGCATTTTGAAATTTTTACGCCTTTACATTTTTAATTGCCTTAAGTTTATAAATGTATTGATTGGTTGATAGATAAGCAGTGGCCATCACGCTTTTACACGTATAATAATCTGTTGAGGAATTATTTTTGGGTGGTAAGAGCAGTGAACGCATCGCCTTGTTTTTAACTCACATTTAGTTAAATAGTGTATATTTCGTTACCATTGGCACGATGTACATAAGTATAACGAACCTCCCCCCTCCCCCGGCCGGTCCTTCAGTTACCTGGTATGGCTACGGTGTTTTCGTTGTATAAAATTTAAACGCTGGTTTAAAACGTTAAATTGAACAATGCCGAAAGAAAAGCCGACGCCGTGATGCCACGAACAAAAAGAATTACAAGTACCGTAAAATAGTTTTTGTTACATGTAGGAACCCTCTGTCTCTCTCCCTCTGTCTCTCCCCCTCCCCCCCCCCCCCGTGCTCTGTTCAGGCTGCATAAAGGGGCGGGGCCTAATTTATACAGGAAATGTTTACTGTGACTTCATAGAAATGTAGCCTCACTATAACAGAAAATGAAATAATTTGCGATTTTAAGCTGCATAAGAGTAATGATATCCATCAAAACTTACCACTGCATTCATTTTTGTCGCTAGGTAAATCCCACACAGCAATAGCAATATATAAACAAGTCACTGATCGCAATTCAAAGCAATGCACTTGTCATGACGTCATCATGGTAAAATTTGACGCATTTAATGTGCAGTTAGAGGCGGATCAAGTAATTTTTCACAGAGAAAAATGATTTCATTATTAAACAGAATATTGTTGGCAAATCTTAGATAGACAATCAATACAAATCTGATATCTTTGTTTAGTGCCATTATTTAAAAACATTCGAGAGTATGTATTGCATTTATATTCTATTTTATTCCGTCTTCTAGTGTACAGGGTTTGCATGTTTCACGCCGATATGCCTAAATTAATTGGCCTTATCGCATATGTATACAATTAATAGATCTTGACCATTTTTTGAATATACATAACGGAAACATTCCTTAATTTGAAAAGTGAAGTTTGTTCTGAATCCCCTTACAATTCCCTTTTTAGAAAAGGTTGTACTTAAAATATTTCTCACAAAAATCTATTCATGTAAAATATGCCATGCCCTTTTAATGAAGAGTTAGAGGTTCAAGTTCGAATAATAAAATTTCATTATCTTTAATTTGTTGAATTGGAGTGGGATCTTGAGCTACAATATGTAGTGCACTCTAGTTTATCTAATTATATCCTTCTTCACCCTACATTTATAGTCCTGCTGGCCATGTTATTAGTGGTAACGTAAACATAGATAATAATGATGACCTTAAACCACTTATTTTGAAAAGGCCAAAATTTAGGGAACCCCGATATTTCAACTGAGT